AAAAGTTCAAATTCAATATCACTTATCTTCAGAGATGCAAATCAAAACCATAAGAGAGTGTCACATGCCTGTAATCCAATGACTCAGGAAGCTAACCCAGAGGACTGCAAATTCAAGGCCAGTCTCAGCAATTCTGCAAGACCCTCAACAATTCAGTAAGACCCTATCTCAAAATAAAAAATACAAAAGACTGGGGATGTAGCTCAGTGATAAAACCCCTCTGGGTTCAGTCCTCAGGACCAAAAACAAAAACCCACAGAGTGATTACCTCACACCCATTAGGATGGCTATGAAAACAAAACAAAGCCAGAAACATATGATGTAGAGGATATGGAGAATTAGGAAGCCCTGTGCAAGATAGTGGGATCATAAAATGCTACAGCTGCTATTGAGAACAGTATGAGAGTTCAAGTAGGATTATCCTATGACCCAGCAATCTCATTTTCTGGCACATACAAGTTGAACATCCCTAATCCAAATAGCCAAAACGCTCAAACTCTGAACTTTATGAGTGCCAACATGTCACCACAAGTGGAAAATTTCACATTTAATTTGGTGTGATAAATCACAATCAAAATGCAGGCACACCTTATTTATAAAAATAATGTGTTTGGGCTGGGGATATGGCTCAAGTGGTAGTGCACCCGCCTGGCATGCGCGGGGCACTGGGTTCGACCCTCAACATCACATAAAAATAAAATAAAGACAATTGTGTCCACCTAAAACTAAAATATTTTAAAAAATGTGTAAAATTATCTTCAGGCTATGTGATAAGGTATATATGAAACATAAATGGACTCAGGAGACTGAGGCAGGAAGATCATAAGTTCAAGGCCAGTCTCAGAAAACTGGCGAGACCCTAAGTGACTTAGTGAGACCCTGACTCAAAATAAAAAGTAAAGAAAACTGAGCTGGGGATGTGGCTCAGTGGTAAAGTGCCTCTGAGTTCAATCCCTAGTACCAAAAGGGGAAAAAAAAAAATTTCATGTTTAGACTTACATCCCATCCCCAAGACATCTCATTATGTGTATGCAAATATCAATCCAAAGTCCAAATCACAAAACACTTCGGATCCCAAGCATTTACATAAGGAATATCGAACCTGTAACCAAAAAGATTAAAAAACAAGAAGTCAGGTGTGGTGGCACACACCAAGAACTCAAACAGAAGCCTATGTTCATAGCAGCACTGTTCATAATAGCCAAGAGGCAAAAACAACTCAAACTTCCATCAATGGATGCAGCAAATAAACAAAAAGTGATATATCCATATAATGGAGTCTCAAAAAGAAAAAAGTTCTGTCAAGTGCTACAATATGGATAAAACTTGAGGATATCAAGCTATGTGAAATAAGTCAGTCACAAAAAGAAAAGCATTTTATGATTCCACTTATAAGGTATCTAAAGTAGTCAAATTCATAGAAACAAAAAGAAAAGTGGGTACCAAGGACTGAAGGGCAAAGGAAAAGAGTTTTTTTCAAAGGGATATACAATTTCAGATCTACAAGATCTTTCCAGACTTCTGGAAATCTTTTTGCCAACAATGTGAATGTATTTTTTTAAAATACATATATATATTTTTTAGTTGTAGATGGACACAATATCTTTTTTGTTTTATTTTTTTAAATATTTATTTTTTAGTTGTAGTTGGACACAATATCTTTATTTAATTTCTTTATTTATATGTGGTGCTGAGGATCGAACCCAGGGCCTTGCATGTGCTTAGGTGAGTGCTCTACCACTGAGCCACAACCCCAGCCTGTTTTATTTATTTTTATGTGATGCTGAGGATCAAACCCAGGGTCTCTCACATGCTAGGCAAGTACTCTACCATTGAGCCACAACCTTAGCCCGTGAATATACTTTAATACCACACAACTTTACACTTTAAAATGATTAGGAAAGCTAGGTGCAGTGGCCCATACCTATAATCACAGCAACTTGGGAGGCTGAGGTAGGAGAATCACAAGTTCAAAGCCAGTCTCAGCTACCTAGCATTAAGCAACTTAGGAGACACTGTCTCATAGTAAAAAGGGCTGGGCATTTAGCTCAGTGGTTAAGTGCCCAAGGTTCAATCCCCAGTATCAAATAATAAAATAAAGCACATCGTGCTCTTAAGCATTTTTATTCATAAATTAATTACAAATTAATAAATAAATCCCAAGTTGCTAAGATTACAGGCATACACACCACTCCCAGGAAATGGGTGAATTGTATCTCAAAAGTTTTTTGTGTGTGGTGGGGTACTGGGGATAGAACCCAGGGCCTTGTGTGCATGGAAGGCAAGCACTCTACCAACTGAGCTACATCCCCAGCTGTTTGGGTTTTTTCCCAGTTGTAGTTGGACACAATTCCTTTATTTATTTTTATGTGGTGCTGAGGATTGAACCCAGCCCTCAATAAAACTCTTTAAAAAAAAAAAAAGTGCTTCACAAAATGCTATCATTCACTGGTTTAAAGAGAACAGAGCAATTTGTTATAAGTACCCAAAACCCTGCTTAGAGGAGCCTATGCTCCTGCTTCTTCCAGGTGACAGTTCTTCTCTTTCCACCACTATCATCTTTTAACTGCCCAGTTCCTATTTAGGTTCAGATTCACAGGAAAATAGTTAAAGAAGCTGCAGTGGCAGTCAAGGAAAGGGGAAAGGAATTCAGTACTTACGCTTTACATTTAGTAGCAGAGCCCAAATCTTTATTAAACACACACACACACACACATACACACAACACATATACACAATGTATCTTCCACTTTCTTTTCCTCCTCTTGAAGCCCATCACATGTTTAAAAGGATTTCTCTGTTCCTGTGCTGCTTTACCCATCTACCTCATATGTGGATTTTTTTTTTTTTTTTTTAGTCCCGGAGATTTAACCCTGGGGTGCTTTATCACTGAGCTACACACCCATCCCTTTTTTAATTTTGAGATAGGTCTTGCTGAAAGCCTTGCTAAATTGCTGAGGTTGACCTTAAAGTTGCAATCCTCCCGTCTCAGCCCCTTAGGAGTCACTGGGATTACAGGCATGTGCGACCATGCCCAGGTATGGCATGGTTTGTTTTAGCAACCACTCAAAATGGAATTCTATATTTAATAGCTTCCACAGAGCAGGGCACAGTGGCACATGCCTGTAATTCCTGCGACTCAGGAGGCTGGGGCAGGAGGATCCCAAGTTCTGGGCCAGCCTCAGCAACTTAGTAAGACCCTGTCTCAAAATTTAAAAGGGGAGATTCATGGCTGGGGATGTAGCTCAGTGGTAAAGTACCCTTGGGTTCAATCCCCAGAACCAAATTAAAAAATAAGCAAACTTAATATCTATTATTAAATCTTAAAACATGCCAGGTGTGGTAGCATACACCTGTAATCCCAAGGGCTCAGGAGGCTAAGGCAGGAGAATCATGAGTTCAAAGTCAGCCTCAGCAACTTAGCAAGGCCCTAAGCAACTCAGCGAGATCCTGTCCCTAAATAAATTATAAAAAGAACTGAGGATGTGACTCAATGGTTAAGTGCCCCTGGGTTCACTTCCCACTACCTAAAAAAAAAAAAAAAAAAATCTTAAAACCCACCATGAAACTCTGACTAAAGCCTACTTTGGTAAGTAACACATCTATAGCATATAAAAAGGATGAACAAGATAAAAACCAAATATTAACAATCACCTCTGAGTAGTGGGACTATGGCTGAGTTTCCTTTTTGACTTATCTCTACTTTTTATAATGAATCTGTAACTTGTTAATATTTTTTTAGTTGTAGATGGACATAATACCTTTATTACTTTATCAGTTTTATGTGGTGCTGAAGATGAAACCCAGTGCCTCACACATGCTAGGCAAGTGCTCTACCACTGAGATACAGCCCCAGCCCTGTAACTTCTGCAGTAAGAAAAAAATCATTCTGGCTCCCTGTTTCAATGTCTGCCTATCATAACACAGATACTTTCACACGTTACTGCATGGAAGGGGAACTAGCACCATGTGAGACAGACACCATTTCCTTCATATTGCATATTAAAATAAACCAAATAGCTGACTAACATGGTTAGGGTAACTGACATAAAATTACAATGCATGTCTTCTAAATTTAAGCCCAGAGCCCTTTCCATTCCATCATATCTCAAAGGGCAATTTGCATTATTTCTCATGATACTTTAAAAAAAAAAAAAAAGGCAAAACAAACCTCTGCTAAAAGACTATTTTAAGAACATTTGCTATGTAACCTTGGGCAAGTAAGTCGCTGACTTCTGAAGCCCTCAATTTCCTCCTCTGAAAAGTGAAAGGTTTGGAAAACATCTCTTAATAGTCCTCCTGCTAATGGATCGCAAATCTAGATGCTATCTTCAGAGAAGAAAACCCAAAGGGAAAAAAATGAATCTTAAGAGAGAAGTGGAGGCCTATGTTCTGGGGCCAAGGACCATTCTTAATGGAAACAGGTGGTGGACAGTCATGAGGAAAGAACCACTACGGGAACCATAAGCTTCCTGGTTAAAGCAACAGCTGAAAGCTCCAGATTTGCTTTACCAACAGCACTGCTTCTATCCTGGCTAAAAGTCATGATTAGAAACCCCACACTCCCTAAGTAAATCTAGAAAAATATAAAAATTACCTTGGGGAGAAAAATCACTACAGCAATAGTTAATGCATGCTATTTTAAATCCGTGATTTTCAAAATGAACTTTAATAGTAAAACGGAAAAAACCATCATTAATTCTATAAGGAGACCCCTTCATTCTCGTCAAGGATTTGCAGAGAACCTGAAACTTAAGAGTACTACACTTGTGGAAAACGTGAAAGAATGCAATTAAATCCTCTCCAATTCACAGAGAACCAAAGACAGTGAAAAGACCTTTAAAACGCGAAGTTCCTATAAAAGATTCATTGGATATTTGTAACCTCTCAAACTACAGACATCATCAAGCATCTCATGCTCTCTCAAAAACTGTTAAACAGCCTTTTTACCCCACAGTAATGAACGTACAGCATCAACTCTGCTGACGAGAAAGCGATTCCATTTTGCTCAAACAGGCTCCGATCAAAACCTCACCACCTTCCCCTCAACTATGGGAATGAACCCAAACCAATAAGACGCTCCTTAAAGGATATGCAATGATCTTAGAGAATTAAAACAACATCCTGCCCGAAGGACCACAACCAAGACAGCACCGACTTGAAATTCAAAGCCAGGTCCCTGGCGAAGAAAGCGCTTTACTGTGCTCTCCACGTCCCCGGGTGCGAGTTTCCAGCTCGACTACTAGGCCATGACTGGGTGAGCACCTGATGTTGGGGGGAGGGCGAGCCAAGGCGCTAGCCGATCTGGGGCAAGAAACAGGGGACTCACGGGGCTCGGAGAAGGGCTACCCTCTAAGGGGAGGATCCTGGGGTGCCCCAGGGCAGGGGACAAGGAACACGTGGGGCGGAAGGGTCAGGGAAGGGGTGTGCGGGGCAAGCAGCCTGAATCCGGCAAGGCGGCTGGAAAGGAGGACGGGACTGCTCCTGGGCAAGGAACTAACCGCTGTGGGTTGGGAGGATGAAGGCAAAGGGCGCGGGGAGAGGTGTAAGGCCACGAGGAAGGCGGGTCTCTCGGCGCAGGGGCACGCGCCAGGCGAGCGCGGCGAGACCCGGGATGCCAGGGACCCCGACGCGCGGGAGATCACGGCCCTGCCTCCGGGGCGCGGGGAAAGAGGAGCGACCGCACCCGGAGGGCCCTGTGACCCGCTGCCGCCCGAACCGGACCCGCCCCACGGCGCCTCCCTCCAGCCTCCGCTCCCTCCCTCCGTCCCGCGGCCCGTTATTCCCCAGCCCCCACACTCACCAGCGGCTGCACCTGAGCCTGCCGCTGCCTCAGCTGCTGCCTGCGCCTCCGCAGCCGCCGCCGCCGCCTCGCTGCTGAGGCCGAGTCCCGGGGGAGCCTCCGCGTCCCGCCGCCGCTGCCGCTGCCGCCAGAGCAGAACACCCCAAAATGGCGGCACTTCCGGCATCTACCACCAGCGGGGAGGGCCGGGGAGGAGGGGGAGGAGAGCGAGGGGGAACGTACCACCGCGGGCCGAGTGAAGCGCGGCTCAGGGGCGGGCCGAGCGTCGGCGCTGCAGCGCCCCCTCGGGCTAGGGAGTGGAGAAGCAGTCGCGCCGAACCCCCACCCCCCCCCCCCCCCCCCCCTCGCCACCGCGGGCGGAGCCCTCAACCTAGGGAGCTGCAGGGTGGCATCTCTTTGTCTAGGAGCTCTACTGGAAGGTAGACCCAGGCAGGGAATATACAGTTCTCTCCTCTGTGCACCGCACCCGCAGGGCTTTGAATGACCCCGGTGGGCAAGCAGCGGTGCATACACGGAATGTACACTTAATAAAATATCCGATGAATGAATGAATGAGTGAATAGTGTTTGGCCAGAATTGGTCACAGGGCACGCCCTCCTTTTTGCACCACCACACAAGCAACAGCATCCAGGCTTTCTTCCTTCTTTGTTGGCATGTAGAATGTGTGTTGTAAGCTTTCAGACTTTGGTGAGTGCCTTCTAGCATGGTGATCAGCAGTGTGCACACACAACCTGGCAAAATCCCTGCAACACCAGGAACTCATATGGATTATGTTAAGAGACTGATTGCCCAAGCTAACCTACTTTTCCCAGAAAAAAAAATAATAATAATAACTTTTTTTTTTTAACCCAGGTCTTTAAAGACCTCTTTCGGACTACCGAGCCTGAGGTAGGAAGATCTCGAGCTCAAAACCAACCTCAGCAAGAGAGCAAGGCCCTAAGCAATTTAGCCAGCCCCTGTCTCAAAATCCAAAATGAAAAGAGCTGGGGATATGGTTCAGTGGTTAAGCACCCCTGGATTCAATCCCAGGTATAAATAAAGACCTCTTTCGGAGTGCTGGGGTCTAAACGGAATGCAAACAGCAGTTTTTTGTTTATCCCTCAGCTTTTAGACTTAGTGAAATGCACACTGAAAAAGAAAACTTACTTTTGGTACTTTTGGGCTCCATCCATTTACAAATAACTCATGGGTTTGCAAATGATTTTTCTGTAACATAATCTGGCTTCCAGAGCAAGGAAGTTTTATACCCACAAATAATGATTACACCCTACTTACCACATCCACACACACACACACACACACCAAAACAAAACAACAACAACAACAACAACAAAAAGTGGGCTCCCAAGCAGAAGCCTCAAGGGAGAAGCGTCCTTTCCCCCTTTAAGGAAAAAATACTAACCACAGTTTTTCTGGTAGTATAGAATGGAACAATTAGCCCCCCACTTGCACATTATCATAGTTCCTTGTGTTATAGTTTAATATATATTCATAGTGCCAATATATGATCGTATTCTTGTAAATAGTCATATGTGTAATATACTGAAAACATTCTGTATTTATAGACCATTAAGTCTTACAGAATACCATCACAAACATGACCATGATTATTTATATATTTATCTCCCAGCTGTAGAAATGTCCAAGCCAAGAATCTGTCTTCTTTTGTGCTCCATAGAATTATCTAGATATTTGTGTGGCTTACTTCCTTCAGGTCTTAACTTAAATGTCACATTCTTAGTCCAGCCTTTCCTTACCACCCTACTTAAAATCACACATATATGCATACACACAATTCCAATCCCCCTTCCTTATATTGTTTTTAATCAAAACACTATTCGCCATCTAGCATACCATAATTTTATTTACATATTTTATTTATTTGTTTTATATATAGCCTCCCCCCACTAGAAGATAAATTCTACAGAGATAGTGATTTCAACCATTTTATTTACTGCTGTATCCTCAGGGCATAGATAATGCCTAATCTATACTAGGTGCTTGATATTGTTGAATTAATAAACAGGCATATCTAGGTACTAGGTATGGAAAGAAAGAATGAATTGTTTAGACTTTAGAAGCATTTCTTTATTTAATTACTATCCATGAAGTAAATAAGGGCATGGAGAACACCCATCTTGTTATTTTCTCTTATCTCCAGTGCTTTCCTGTGTCTGGCTCAATAGATATTTCTTAAAGGGCAACCAAAAACCTTCCCCTATGTTATCTGCCCCTTGACTGAGGAGTTCCTTTGCAGCAAAGGAGCTCCTTGCAGGGAACTAGTGTCACTATTATATCTAGTTACCAAGCAGGTCAAGGTGTATTAGCCCAAAGTTGGGGAGCAGAACAATAACATGAAGAGCACTAATGAGTCATAACTTCAAAGGATTTCAGCAGTATAAACAAAATACTCAATCCAAACACCAAAAAAAAAAAAAAAAAAAAATCTACTGTGAGATTAAAAAGAGCACCTAGCCAGGTGCAGGTGCGGTGGTGAAAGCCTGTAATCCCAGTGGCTTGGGAGGCTAAGACAGGAGGATCATGAGTTCAAATCTCGCCTCAGCAATGGTGAGGCACTAAGCAACTCGGTGAGATCCTGTCTGTAAATAAAATGCACAATAGGACCAGGGATGTGGAGATGTGGCTCAGTGGTTGAGTGCCCCTGAGTTCAATCCCTGGTACAAAAAAAAAGAAAAAAAAATTAGATTAAAATTTGTTTTGAAACATAGCCAGTGTGGCTAAGGGTTCAGGGAAACAAGCCTTCTCTGAGTATGAGTGGAAGTAAAATTCAGATAATCTATCAGGATAAATTTAGAATTTTACATACATTTATAGGAATTTATCTTAAGGAAATAATCATGTAAGTGAAAAGATTGTTATTGGCAGGGGGTTTACTAGGGATTGAACCCAGGGACATTTTACCACTGAGCCACATCCCCAACCTTTGTGTGCCTTTGTGTGTGTGTGTGTGTGTGAGAGAGAGAGAGACACTCAGGGTCTTGCTAAATTGCTTAGGGCCTTGCTAAATTGCTGTGGCTGGCTTTGAACTTGTGATCCTCCTGCCTCAGCCTCCCGAGTCTCTGGGATTACAGGTATGTGCCACCTCACCTGGCTTGCAGAGATTGTTATTTAGACACAATTTAAATAGCATAAAATTTGATACCAAAGCAGATTGATAAAATAAATTATGGTGTATTCTTGACCTAGGACACTGTAATTTCAAATAATGACAAATAAAAATATTTAGTTATAGGAAAAGGTTTGTGATACAAGCATAGTAAATAAAACAGGTGGTATTAATAGGTATACAAGGAGTATATATGTTGAAAGAGGAAAAAAACAGAAAGAATATATATTAGAAAAAGTGCAAAAAATGTTCTATATCTTTATATTAGGTTTTATTAATCTGGTTTTCATTACTATAATAAAATATTCAAGGCTGAATAACTTTATTAAAAAAAGAGTTGGGTTGATGGTAGAGCTCACTAAAAGAGCTGGTGCATGCACAGGTCCTGGGTTCAATTTCTAGCATCACCCTCCAAAGAGAAGTTGTTTTGGCTCACAGTTCTGGTCCAAGGTAGAGGGTCTACATCTGGTGGTGGCATTCTTGCTGACAAAGGCCTAAGGTTGCACAGGGTCTCACACAGCAAGAGACAGGAGGCATGCATTCTGGTCTCTCACCCTCTTCTTGGAAAGTAACTAGTATTCAATTATGGGGGTTCCACCCATGACCTTATTTAATACTAATCACTTCCAAAGGCCCCATTTCTAAACACCAAAATCAGATTATGTTTCCACCCTCTTAATACCTCACAGTGGGGATTAAATTTCAACACAAAAATCCTTGGGGAACACACCCAAGCCATATCCAAAGCACAGCAACAACCCTTTTAATTTTAATTTTAGTAATTCTGATAGAGATGTAGCAGCATTTTATTGTGGTTTAACTTTCTTTCCCTAATGGCCAATGGTTTTCATTACCTTTACATAGCTTATTGACCATGTGAACATTCTCTTTTGTGGATGCATGCTCAAGCCTTTTTTCCATACACTCATCATCATTTTTACTGGCTGTCTTCCTTTTTTCAATGGTTTGTAGGAATTCTTTATGCATTTTGTTTTGTCCTTCGGGTTTTTTGGTTGTTGCTGGTTGTTTTGGTACTGAGGTTTGAACCAAGGGTGCTTAACCACAGAGCTACATCCCCAGTCCTCCCTAAATTGCTTAGGGCTTTGCTTAGATGCTGAGACTGGCCTTAAACTTGAAATCCTCCTGTCTCAGCTTTCTAAATTGCTGGGATTACTAGTGTTGCCACCACTTCTGGCTCTTTATGTATTTTAAAAACAAGTTCTGTGGGTGTGTTTGTATTACTTATATCTACTTCCTGTGTGTGGATTACCTTCTACTCCCTCGTTTTAATTGTTTATTTTGATGAACAAGGTTTTTAATTTTAACAAGGTCCAATTTATCAATCCTTATTTTTTTTTTAAAGAGAGAGAATTTTAATATTTATTTTTTAGTTCTCGGCAGACACAACATCTTTTGTTTGTATGTGGTGCTGAGGATCTTTTGAAGAGAGAGCGAGAGACCCTCTTTTTTTTTTTTTTAAGAGTGAGAGAGAGAGAGAGAGAATTTTAATATTTATTTTTCAGTTTTCGGTGGATACAACATCTTTGTTTGTATGTGGTGCTGAGGATTGAACCCGGGCCACACGCATGCCAGGCAAGTGCCCTACCGCTTGAGCCACATCCCCAGCCCTGAGATGAAGTAACTTTTTCAAGAACACAGAGAGCCAGGCAATCACAGAGTTGGTATATAAAGTCAGGTCCACTGGGTGAAAAGCCTGCTTAGGGGTTAAAAACTGTCTCCAGTGGGGCACTGGTGGCACAGGCCTGTAATACCAGCAGCTTGGGAGACTGAGGCAGGCTACTGCTTGAGCCACATCCTCAGCCCTCAATCCTTATTTTGTGGTTAGTGTTTCCTGTGTTCCCTTTAAGAAATTTTGTTCCCCTAGGGCGTAAAAATTCATTATTTTAATTGTTTACATCTATGATGTAGCTCTAATTTTTATGTATGATATAGGAGTCAAATTCCTTC